AGGTAATGATTCTAAATTAGTAGAGAGGAAATAGACTTTAAAAAATATTTTATGCTAAAACGAAATACCAATTTTCGATAGATTTTATTTTCAAAATGTGTCCAATATGTTTATTCTTCTTCTAGTTCTTGTCATGGTTGTAATAATAAGTAACACTGCTATTTGTGGAAATCACTCTATTTTTAGCCTAGAAAGGGGGTTGCAGAAAATGTCTTTGTTTTTTGGCCTAATCACTGACAGTTCCCATGTATTCTGAATTTATGGCCAATCATCTGCTATTATTAGGTGTCCTGAATTAATTCATCTCCTAATTGTAACTGATGCAATAATGAATGATTCTGCATGAAACTAAGTATTCCTGGATGCTCATAAGCTGAATTTATGATTCAATTGTGGAGCATTTTAGCACGTGATAGGTGTAGTAGAGTCCTTCCCTAATTCTTTCACTTGATTTCCAGTCTTCCACAAAATCATTGCTCCTCAGACAAAAAGGAAAAGTTATCTATTCTGTTCACCTAAAGTCCAAGTAAACAAAGAGCCATGAGAATGCACTATTAACAATTGCCATAGCAAGTAAAACAAAAATGAGCCCTTTAATTCACCTTTAAAATAAGCACCAGGTGAGCATATTACTGATTTCGTTAAATGGAAACTTAGACTAAGGTATTCAAGCTCATTTTTTGCTTGTCACCAAACCATCATCAAATGAGACTAGGCAACAGCCTTTGGAGGCCAAAGTAAATGGAAAATAAAGATTATCCATGTGAGAGTTTCTGAATGGCACTTTAATTAATGTATATAATTCCCTCCAGCAGTCCTTTCATTGCCACAGTCACTTCTTCAGGGTCCTCCACAACTACTGTTAACCCTCTATCCCTCTCTCTCTCTCTTTCACCAATGATATCATTTCCAGAAACTTTAGAGGAGCTAATGTAGGGAAAAACCCAATGGCATCTGGCAACTGCAGAACCCTCATACTTCAGTAGAAAATGCCTTCTTTAAAACTCTTTACTAAAATGTAATGCATTATGCTTAGTAAGACATGAGAATTGTTATTAATGGGTCAGAACCATATTATTTCATGTTTTATGTTTTCTTTCTAGAAGTTATCACAAGGGAAGCTTTATGGTTGAAAAAATCTGGGCTAAGGGAAATTGATTTCAGAGGGCAAGGCATGCCCCCAAATATCACTTGCTTTCCCTATACTCTTCTTCAATCAATTTATTTCATCCCCTTTTGATTGTATTCATATATAAAGACTGTGTATTGGATCCAAAAGTTACATAAGCATATTAGAAGCTGTGTAACATAACTTTACTTTTTAATTATTAAAAAATTTACTTTTAAAATTTCCAAATAATGCCTCCTAGTATTTATGTTCTGAGATTCACTTCCAAGTATAAGTTCCCAATATACATAACCTTGTATAGTTAGGCATTTTTTGGCATAATTTCTCTGCCTGTGTCATTTTTACTTCAAGTTAATTAAAAGACATATTGGAGCATAATAAAACTATGTGTCTTCTAATTACTTTCTATTTTTGACAAAATGAGGTTCCCTCTTTAAAAATTAAATTATGATAATTTTACTGTAATCCCATTCAAATAAAAGGCTACTGTGCATCTCATTTTTTCTAATGTCATCTGCATCAGATATTTGTCATTTTAATATTTTCCAGTTCCTGTCAACTGAGAATGGAAAGATGGTGATGCGCCATTCACAATTTTTTTTGCATACACTGCGACTTTTACCAAATGACCAGAAAATGAACAACTATCAATAACAGCTAATAAATAAAATAGTGTATCCTGTGGACTATTTTGGGGGGATGAAATCCAGGATTATCCTATACTCAGAATTGCTTGAGGATTTGTTATTTGAGTTGTAAACAGCACATGATGTTTTATGTGGCACATGTTTATTTCCGTTGAAAGAGCACGTCCTCTTTTTGAGGAAGGAAAGAAACTTGTAACATCAAATGTTTCTTGCAAAACAATTTGATGAAATAAATGTAAATGAATCAGAAACATGTGAATTGTATTTCATTAAAATTAATGGGTTTAAATGTGAAGGGGGTAAAATGCTTGGGGGAAAGAGTGTGGTAAGGCGGGAAGGGACATTTGTTTTGTTTTCATCAGTCTTGGATTCTTTAAAAATGGCTTAATAGTCTGAATTTCATCTCATTAAGATTCTCTTAAGCCTAATGGTGGAGTTACAGAGTGGGACAATAAAATGCAAACTTATTTTATAGCTTTATGTGGTTCCAGTTATAAAGTACGCATCAAACATTGCCACTATGCAGTCCTTCAAAATCACTTTCAATTTGAAGTTGGTGGTTTTTCTATATAATTCTTTTAACGGTAAACAAGAAATTGTAATGATGCTAAAATACATGTTTTATCTCTCAGACTCACTCATAAGTTTCACATTTCCTTTTTCTAACTGAAGATGATCTGATCTAAATGGAAAACAGGTGAGAGCTGAATGTGTATGTGTAGACATATATGCAGGAGATAGGCAGGAGGAGAAGACACTGGAAGAAAGGGAAAGAGTAAAAGAAAGAAAAGGGAAAAAAAGACATGATCAATGCAGGCCGAGCTATGCCATCAAACCTAATTCATAAGTAAAGCAGTGAAATCTCACTAAGTATTTGCGAGCCATAAACATTTTATCCCATAGTTTATGTTCAAATTATTTATGCTTGCTTAAAAACAAATACATAGCTTATTTTATATTTTGTATTTTCATTTAAAAAAGCATCTATTACTCTGAAAACAAGAAAAAAATCAACTTCAAAAAAGAAAAAAGGTTTACAAATGAGTCTCCCTGCCTCAAAATCTGAGTAATTTGATGTGGGTTATGACATTTCAGTTTCCCAACTCCCAGTTTCTGAACACAGGGACATTTGTAATGTTCCAAATACTTCCGAGAGGCAGAGGGTACACAAATGGGTATATATGTATGTATAACCCTCGAAATCTTCGTTTTCCTAAACTCTGACCACCTTCTGTATTTTACATGTATTTTTTATTTTATTTTTTTATTATACTTTAAGTTCTAGGGTACATGTACATAACATGTAGGTTTGTTACATATGTATACTTGTGCCATGTTGGTGTGCTGCACCCATCAACTCGTCAGCACCCATCAACTCATTATTTACATCAGGTATAACTCCCAATGCCATCCCTCCCCCCTCCCCCCTCCCCGTGATAGGCCCCGGTGTGTGATGTTCCCCTTCCCGAGTCCAAGTGATCTCATTGTTCAGTTCCCACCTATGAGTGAGAACATGCGGTGTTTGGTTTTCTGTTCTTGCGATAGTTTGCTGAGAATGATGGTTTCCAGCTGCATCCATGTCCCTACAAAGGACACAAACTCATCCTTTTTTATGGCCGCATAGTATTCCATGGTGTATATGTGCCATATTTTCTTAATCCAGTCTGTCACTGATGGACATTTGGGTTGATTCCAAGTCTTTGCTATTGTGAATAGTGCCACAATAAACATACGTGTGCATGTGTCTTTATAGCAGCATGATTTATAATCCTTTGGGTATACACTCAGTAATGGGATGGCTGGGAAACCCTAGAAGAAAACCTAGGTAATACCATTCAGGACATAGGCATGGGCAAGGACTTCATGTCTAAAACACCAAAAGCAACAGCAACAAAAGCCAAAATTAACAAATGGGATCTAATTAAACTAAAGAGCTTCTGCACAGCAAAAGAAACTACCATCAGAGTGAACAGGCAACCTACAGAATGGGAGAAAATTTTTGCAATCTACTCATCAGACAAAGGGCTAATATCCAGAACCTACAAAGAACTCTAACAAATTTACAAGAAAAAAACAAACAACCCCATCAAAAATTGGGCAAAGGATATGAATAGACATTTCTCAAAAGAGGACATTCATACAGCCAACAGACACATGAAAAAATGCTCATCATCACTGGCCATCAGAGAAATGCAAATCAAAACCACAATGAGATATCATCTCACACCAGTTAGAATGGCAATCATTAAAAAGTCAGGAAACAACAGGTGCTGGAGAGGATGTGGAGAAATAGGAACACTTTTACACTGTTGGTGGAATTGTAAACTAGTTCAACCATTATGGAAAACAGTATGGCGATTCCTCAAGGATCTAGAACTAGAAGTACATGTATTTTTTTTAAGACAATATATGACACTGCTGAAGTAGCCTTCTGGACATACCACTAGGTAGAGAAATGTGTGAACAGAGGTTCTTTCTTTACAACTGAAGGCGTAGTAGCCTGTGGGGCTATTTCAGGTCTGTAAGGAGTCTGCTTTTGTGCTTCCTGGGAATATAATGATATAACTGGATCTTAGCATCTCTCTGGCTGCTGGGAGCTCAACTGCTGCTTATCAACATGTTTGGAATGAGGATCCTGTTCCTTAGTGTCTTTGTGTGAAATAATTCACTGTCTCAAACTGTTCTGGAAATGTTTCTCCTCCTTGTTTTTATAGGCAGGAACTGAAAGGATTCACTTTTAAAGTATTTGTTTCATAATTGGGCAGGAGATACGTTTTGGCTTCTAGCATAGCCCTTTGTTGTTTTATTTAACATTTCTCTCATCGTTCTTTAACAGCTGAAAAAAATTGAGTGGTGAAGATGACTGTGTCATTTGTACCTTACAATAGCATTAATGCAATAATTACAACTGCTCTGGAGACCCCAAAGTCGCTCATAAGGGTTCTATGCATCAATAAAAGTCTAAATTCTAACTCTAGAGTTGTGTCAATGAAAATATACGAACAGCTTCAGCTTTATCTTTGTCATCAACAATAGATATTTATAAGGTCCTCAGTTAAGTGTCACTACTTAGGATCTAGGTTCAGAACATTATGATGATGGTATAGTTCCTTCCAGGTGAGATATATCGTGATTTATTTTCTATCATGATTTGCTATAGTAACGTTTCATAAGTGAAACAGGATCTAATCCTTTACTTTTGGTGTTGTTCCACTTGTTGACAGGCCTATCCTTGTAGCAGTGATAAGGAGTGTGAAGTTGGGAGGTATTGCCACAGTCCCCACCAAGGATCATCAGCCTGCATGGTGTGTCGGAGAAAAAAGAAGCGCTGCCACCGAGATGGCATGTGCTGCCCCGGTACCCGCTGCAATAACGGTAAAAGATCTCACTAAGTGTTCATAGGCCTCTTTCTTTTCATCATAGTAAGCCTGTCTCTCGAGTCAGGCTATCTTCTCCTTACTCGGACTCCTGAAATATAAGGAGCCTGGTAGAATTGGTTTAGGTAGTGCAAGATTACTTGAATTTCCTCCCCAAATCTTAGTTTTCCTAGACTCTGGTTACATTCTATATTTTATGACCTGTGCTGATCTAGAATATTGCCATGTTGAAGTGTTATGTATAAACAGCAAGGCGTTCTATTCCAGTAAACACATAAGTGAATGCATGTAAAAGAACCAAAGACAGAAACTTGATATGATTTAGTAATGCAGTTGTAAATATCTATTCCAGTTTTGTACTTTGGGTTTAGTCAAGATGTTCTGTAGCTCAGTCTTATGGTAGTAGAGTGATTGGTTCCTCCAAAGAGAGACACAAGATTTTACTCCCCAACCTGGCTTCATCCAATATCAGTGAATTTATAGGCAGACAATTCAGCAATAATGATGAAATGGATCACAGACAAGATGTGGCAAAAACATTAAATAATTGCAGAAGGTAATTAGAAATATATACTTAATCATATAAAACAACATAATCAGGCCCATATTCTCATGCCTATTCCTGACCTCTGGGTGTAGACCTATTGTGAATCTGTTGCACAGGAGGTGAAGGGAAGAAGAAGACCTTACACCATTAGAGAAGTTTACAGTGTAAACTAAGATTATGTTGTTAATTAATAAAGGAATCTGGATCCAGAGGGTGAATGTCTGATCAGATTATTTAAAAATACTAATAGCTAACATTGTTTCTTCACATATATTCACAATAACTTTGTGAATATATAAAATTATGCTTTTATTCCCAGTTTTGTCCAAGGTCACTTAGTCTTGAGAGAGACAAAATTCATATCAAAGAAGTCTCACTTTAGGGCCAAAGTATGCTCAGTCTCAATAAATAAGTAAATGAATGAATGGGTGGTTAGATAGATAGATAGATAGAGAAATGGCTTCATATTTCACATCAAGAGAGTACGTGAATAAGTTTCACATTTCGTAGAATTGAGTTAGTCTAACTGATTATGTGATCATCTCCAGGTATCTGTATCCCAGTTACTGAAAGCATCTTAACCCCTCACATCCCAGCTCTGGATGGCACTCGGCACAGAGATCGAAACCACGGTCATTACTCAAACCATGACTTGGGATGGCAGAATCTAGGAAGACCACACACTAAGATGTCACATATAAAAGGTAGGGATATCTGTAGTTGTGGGTTTTTAAAAAATAAATAAATAGAAGAAAAATATAGATAATTAATTCCATTGGTTTTAGAAAAAAATTACAAGGAAGGTTCTTTAATCCTAGCTAGTCATTAAACTTGTTATTCAGGTGGCAAATAATGGAAACAGATCATAATGGATTTATGTGATTAGAGGCATAGCCAATCGGTATCAACCAAGACTTTTCCTTATAAATGGTAACAACATAGAAGATAGTATAAGTGAAAATATTTTATGTGCTTCTGATTGCAAAATAGAAATTTTTTTTTCTGAAGTGTCAGGGTAACATCTATTATTGGTCATCATCTCTGCAGGGCATGAAGGAGACCCCTGCCTACGATCATCAGACTGCATCGAAGGGTTTTGCTGTGCTCGTCATTTCTGGACCAAAATCTGCAAACCGGTACTCCATCAGGGGGAAGTCTGTACCAAACAACGCAAGAAGGGCTCCCATGGGCTGGAAATTTTCCAGCGGTGCGACTGTGCGAAGGGCCTGTCTTGCAAAGTATGGAAAGACGCCACCTACTCCTCCAAAGCCAGACTCCATGTGTGTCAGAAAATTTGATCACCATTGAGGAACATCATCAATTGCAGACTGTGAATTTGTGTATTTAATGCATTATAGCATGGTGGAAAATAAGGTTCAGATGCAGAAGAATGGCTAAAATAAGAAATGTGATAAGAATGCAGATCACAAAAAGAGAGAAAGAAAACATGGACTGAATAGATTAGAATGGGTGACAAATGCAGTGCAGCCAGTGTTTCCATTATGCAACTTGTCTCTGTAAATAATGTACACATTTGTGGAAAATGCTATTATTAAGAGAAAAAGCACACAGTGGAAATTACTGACGAGTAGCATGTGACTTTCCAAGAGTTTAGGTTGTGCTGGAGGAGAGGCTTCCTTCAGATTGCTGATTGCTTATACAAATAACCTACATGCCAGATTTCTATTCAAAGTTAGAGTTTAACAAAATACTCCTAGAATAACTTGTTATACAATAGGTTCTAAAAATAAAATTGCTAAACAAGAAATGAAAACATGGAGCATAGTTAATTTACAACAGAAAATTATCTTTTAATTTGTAACACTACTTCTGCTGTTCAATCAAGAGTCTTGGTAGACAAGAAAAAAATCAGTCAATATTTCCAAATAATTGCAAAATAATCGCCAGTTGTTTATGAAGGCCTTTAGGAAGACAAATAAATAATAAACAGCCACAAAAACATTTTTTCAAAATTTTAGTTTTACCTGTAATTAATAAGAACTGATATAAGACAAAAACAATTCCTTCAGATTCTGTGGAATGACAGTATATCTCTCTATCCTATGTGATTCCTATTCTGAATGCATTTTAGTTTCCAAACTATACCCATAAATTGTGACTAGTAAAATACTTGCACAGAGCAGAATTTTCATAGATGGCAAAAAAAATTAAAGATGTCCAAGATATGTGGGAAACCAGCTAACAGAGAGATCAATATTTCTTAAAGATTTGCCATAACCTATGTTTTGATAGAACTAGATTGTTAAATACACATATTCATACACACTCTGTGGTAATAGAGAGTTGAGCTGGATCTGTACTGCACTGGAGCAAGCAAGAAAATTGGGAAAACTTTTTCGTTTGTTCAGGTTTTGGCAACACATAGTTCATATGTCTGAGGCACAAGTTGACTATTCATCTTTGAAACCAGGGGATGCACAGTCTCAGTGAAGAGCTGCATGGGATTTGCTATCACAATATTTACTACACAAATGAATTCAGTGTGAGGTCATGTGTCCATACTACCCTCAAATTATTTATTTTATAGTGCTGAGATCCTCAAATAATCTCAATTTCAGGAGGTTTCACAAATGGACTCCTGAAGTAGACAGAGTAGTGAGGTTCCATTGCCCTCTATAAGCTTCTGACTAGCCAATGGCATCATCCAATTTTCTTCCCAAACCTCTGCAGCATCTGCTTTATTGCCAAAGGGCTAGTTTCTGTTTTCTGCAGCCATTGCAGTTAAAAAATATAAGTAAGATAACTTGTAAAATCTGCATATTGCTAATCTCTAGACACCACAGTTTCTAAATTCTTTGAAACCACTTTACTACTTTTTTTTTTTACTTAACTCAGTTCTAAATATTTTGTCTAGAGCACAATAGAATAAAAGGTTATCTTATAGTCGTGACTTTAATCTTTTGTAGACCACAATTCACTTTTTAGTTTTCTTTTACTTAAATCCCATCTGCAGTCTCAAATTTAAGTCCTCCCAGTAGAAATTCAGTTTGAGCCTGTATATCTATTAAAAATTTCAGCTTCCCACATATATTTACTAAGATGATTAAGATTTACATTTTCTGCACAGTTCTGCAAAAACAAAAATTATAAACTAGTCTATCCAAGAACCAAAGTTTGTATAAACAGGTTGCTATAAGCTTGGTGAAATGAAAATGGAACATTTCAGTCAAACATTTCCTATATAACAATTATTATATTTGCAATTTGGTTTCTACAATATTTTTCTTATGTTCACCCTTTTAAAAATTATTATTTGAAGTAATTTATTTACAGGAAATGTTAATGAGATGTATTTTCTTATAGAGATATTTCTTACAGAAAGCTTTGTAGCAGAATATATTTGCAGCTGTTGACTTTGTAATTTAGGAAAAATGTATAATAAGATAAAATATATTAAATTTTTCTCCTCTAAAAACTGAATTCAAAGTTCCTTGTGTTTTGCCTATGGGAAGAATTTTCATAGACTCATACTTTCTGAGAGTTCAACTGAACTTGGTCTGATTTTGAGGACTGGGTGTGAATCATTTGGAGGACATCAGCATGAGATAACTCAGAGCAGTTTACTATTACAAAAGGTAGTTTATTTCATGGCAGTTTAGCTGTAATTGTTAGAGAGTTGTTTCAGGTTTTGGTTTTTTTTTTTGTTTTTTTGTTTTTTGTCAAATCAAAATATTCCACCTTGTGATTTACACCATTTAGTCATACTTTGCCTTCTGAAACAACTTGGACAAGAAAGTGCTCTTCACAATTTCTTCAGAATACTATAAGACAGGTAACATATGCCCCATAATCTTTTCTCTAAGCTAAAGTTTTCCAAAATGGAAATACTATTATGCTTAGAGTATTGGTTCATTTCTACATGAACCAATGAACGTGAGCTACACGATGCCTTTTTCTGTATTTGGAGAGAAACTGAGTGAAATCAAATCCACTTCCTGGGAAGCGAGTGTTTCCTCTGCTTCCTGAACCGGAGATGTCAGGAGTGTTTTGAGGAATAGTGTTCACCAAGTATGAGACCAGGGATGGCTACAAAAGCCCATGTTGTATTAGACACCAGAATGGGCTGCAAATGTGGATGATAAACATTCTGTGACATAGTGAATGAATTAAATGTAGTTATGGTTCCTTCATGAAGCTAAAACAGTCCCACAGCTAGAAGTTAGATTTAAAAATACTTTAAGCATTGCTGAAATATTTTCCACAATATGTTAATTAGTCATTTAAAGATATTCTTAAATCATTGGTCATTTCCTCCAATGAGAATATTTATATTTTCTAGTTAAAGTGTGCTTTTGACTATAATAATCATATGGGAGATCTTTTTCTTTTCTATTTTGCTCAGTGAGATGCTCTGAGAACTGACAAATTTTCCTGACTTTTTTATTTTATTTTATTTTATTTTATTTTATTTTATTTTATTTTAGTTAAGAAACAAAATACCCTTAAGTAGCCTTAGTATTTTAGGGGAAAACATTCAGTTACACTTTTGTATATGTAATTGTAGCTTTAGAATTTTAGGGGAAAGCAATCAATTGTAATTGTCTTCACTCAAAATCAGGCCAGTTGAAAACCAGATTTTTTAAAAAAATAGGCAGATGAAAGATTACTCATTGCTGGTGAAGTTAATATTGGAAAATGTAGCATGTACCTGTGAACAAGAAGACATTCTAACACTAAACACCAGAAAGAGATTCTGTGTCCATTTACATTCAATACCAGGCTATATCAGTTCCATCTTATGGGAGCAGCCCTATAAAATTTATAATATGGATGGGTGGAACAGAATGACATGCCTCCTTCTCGGGTTAACACCAAAGATGAAGGGCATGGAAAAAGGGCTGAACTATGCATTTCTCATTCAAAAATCTCATCCAAAATTTTCCAAAACTGGACAATTTGTACTACATGAAAAGAGTGAGTGAGGGGTGGAGTGAGACAAAGATGATCATTCTACGCCACATCAAATTCACTTTAAAGATTGGGAAAGAAGAATCCCTCCTCATATCCTTCCCCAGATCTTTATATTTTTAACCCATTGTGCATACCATTTGTCTATGGTGAAGATATGAGTTTTAGCCAAAATCTGACTTGCTACCTCCTAGGGGAAGTCCCTGATGAAATCATTTTCCTAATGACAATCATTCCTTCTTTATGGATCCTTTCAGGATATGGTGTGGTGGGAAATTTAGCTTTTGTCCCCAAGAGCTTGCAAAATGTTTGAAAACAATACATTAACTAAATAAACTTCAAGATCACTCTATATCCAGGACTAGAAAATAATTATTTATTCTTTTTACTGTCCCAAATTATATCCATCATGTCATCTAACACAGTCTATTAGAGATTGTGCAGTGAGACTAAATGATACATTGAGTATATGATAATAAAATATGTAAAAGCATTTCAATAATAAAATTCTAACAATGCAGAGATGCCTCACCTTTGAATATAAGTCTTCTTTCATTGAAAATTTCTTAGGGAGAAAGTAAAGGACAAAAATGAAATCCTCTTGCATGTAAAGTCAAAATAACTTGAAGTTCAAAAGAATTAAAGTCTGCAATTATTATCTTTCTCTTTCGGATAAGGAGTCCAAAGAAATCAAAGTTTAAAATCTTCAGGTTAATAGTTAAATTTTTCTTCCTTATTTCATGTTTTGCTCTGTCTCAGCCATAGGGTTTCCAGATACCTGGGTGAACTAAAACTTCTTCAGCAGCTATGGCCTGAGTAGTTTCTCACTAGAATTACTGCTGGTTCAGAAGATTTATTAGTTTGACAACAATCTCTGATGCAGCTCACTTTTACTAAAGTCCAGTAAATTATTATACCACACTCAATTAAGCCAAAGGTGCCACCACATTTAGAAAACAAGCTAATCTAGTTCTTAGAGCAAACACCTTAGGCAAAGGGCTGTTAACATATGCATGGCTTACAATGCCAAAAATCATAGCAGAGATGCATGGAATCTGAATGCAGAAAGGTGGAGAAAAACCTGGTTTTGGTTTGCTAAAAACGTCAGTCAATCCAAACCAGGTGTCTGTATCCCATGATCTATGAAACTTAAACTTACATGGGAAAAATGTCCCATCGAGAAGTTAGGTATGGCACTACAGTTTTCCTTACGGTATGGTGGGAGGAGAAGCCACTTGAATTCTATCTCCTTATAGGGCATGAGTGGTAATTGAGGTATTGCTGCCTTCAGTAAACGTGGTCAACTTTAAAAATTTTGCCATGACATTAGCCTCATTAGGGCTTCTTTCTTTTGCAGTTAGCCTATTCAAAGCCTCACCAGTGCTTAATTGAGAATAGGCTCTGTCTGGTGATGTGTGCTCCGATTATCTTGAGAGCTGACCTTTTTCAGTGCTGTGCACAGTGGCAGCTTCCACTGCTTCATGCTGTAGAATTATTTACTTCCTCAGCCCTGCGTTTGTTCTACTTGTACCATAACATCAACAGATTCCTGAATTAAAATTGCTATTGATACCTCTGAAAGTTATTTTAGCAAAGGGTACACTTCTAGGAGCCAAGAAGACACTCCCAACTTACATTCCCTCACTCAACATATTCACCAAGCATCTATGATAATGTGCTAGGCCACGTTGTAAGCACAGTGAGTAAAAGTAGAGTACCAAACTAATAAAGTCCATGTTCTCATTTTTACATTCCAGTTAATTTTTAGGGCAATGGCTACAAGGCAGAAAACTAAATAACAAAAATATCAATACTATAGGGGACAAAGATGAGCACTGTGAAGAAAATTGAAGGAGAGTAAAGGAACAGAGGGTGATGAGTAGTGTTATTTTCGATTTTCCAGTGAGGGAAGATCTCTTAAAGAAGGCAGATTATGAGCAGAAACCTGATTGAAGTGAAGGAGTGGTAATGAAAATGTCTGGAGAAACTGACACGGGCAGTGGAAGAGCAAGGTAAACATTTGACAGTGGGAAGAGGTTGAAAATGGAGACTAGGATGAAAAAACGGAGGAGATAAGAGATGAGACTAGAAGAGCAGCTGGGTCAGGTCATGTAGAACCTTACTAACCATGATTAGTTTTGTTATGAAAGAGATATGGAACTGGTAGAAGTTTTTGAGCAAGGGAGTAGCTTGAGCTGACATGTTTCCCAAGGATCACCCAGTCTGCTGCGTGGAGAATATACCACAGGGCAGTAGGGCATCCAGGCAAGAACGGCTGGCTCAGATTAGTGAGGTAAAGTGAAAGCCATGAGAGTTGTTGGATTTAGGGTATGCTGGAGGTGGATTTGCTGTTGGGTTGCTTATCTTTCCTTCCAGCTGTAGTGAAAGAATGAAGGTGGTGAAAGAAAGAAGGCAGTCTCTCTAGACTAGCCTGAGGAACACAGAAAAAGAAAATGTTGATAACAAAAGTTAAAAAAATATGCCTGTGCATTGCCCTTGTATTTAACATGTAAAGAATTGCCTCTCAGTAGAACATCAGAAATTCCTTAGAAAGTGGATCTTTGTAAATCTCTCATCAGCCATCCTGAGATCTTAAGAAAAACTCTATGAAAGAAGAATTACATCCACACAATACAGCTTATTAGATGTGCTAAGGGAAGAGTTTGCAAACAAATGAAAGGGTGAGGGAGTGGCAGGATGACACAGAAAGGAGAACAAAGACTGAGCAGAATTTCAAGTGAGAGTATAAAAAAAGAGACGCATCAAGTAGACTGCTGGAATCCTAAAATGTGCTAATAAGAAGCTTCAATTTGACACAGATGCCAAAAGGCGTCAAGAAAAACTTATGGGAACAGAATAGTTAACTCACAGCAGTAGGCTTAGAAAATGATTTTAGCAAAGTGTGCATCTCAGGCAACCCTCCCATTGACATTGTGCCAATGAATTGCATTAAAGGGAAATTTCTCAACGTAAGTAATAGTTCTCTTTGAGTATTAAGTAATTGTATAGTTCAGGACCTGGGAATTCTAAAGAAATAACAGCATGCAAGTAATTGAAGTACTTTCATGAGAAATACACTTGCCATCATACCTCTCACACATATGTCATGAATACCACAGTGCACATAACCTTTTAAAATTTCCTGGGGGTCAGCATTTCTTATAGATGCCATGGACTTTTTTATTTGCTCCACACCTTCCCACTTCACTGCACCTGCTACACCAGTCATCATTTTGTGTTTAATGGCCAGTCAGTCTCCAGGGCCTAGTAACAGATGGAGAATATCAGATCAACTAGCACCTGTAAAATATTCTAAGTCCTACTTCAGCTTTTCAGGCAGACGTTGAAATTAAGACTGTTTTAGCCTCCATTTATTTTCCTCTCTTCTCAAGATCCCCTTCCAGTGGGATCTTGTTCCTCCCAACAGTCACCAATTCTGTGTCCAAGTGTATGCCATACATAAAGCTGATTTTGATAACCATAAGATGCAGCACTTTCTGTGGGAATTTCAC